ACCCGAGCCCTGCGTCGCCGGCACCGGAGGGAGCATAAGCGCGACGCGGGGCCGGAGGGAGGGGTGTCCCCGTCCCCCCCTCTCTCTGCCTGTGCTTTGTAGCCGGGTAAGTCCTGAGGAGCAACCGGTCACTGTAGAGGTGACCTGTCAGCAGCAGGGTGGGACCCTCCGCCGTTTGATCCGCAGGGTGTCCCGTACCGCCTGCGGCTCCTCAGCGCCGAGGAGGAGAGTTCCTGGGAGCGACCAGGCATCTTCCGTGCGAGTCTTCTAGGGACAGTGCGGCCTGCCGGGGCCGCTGAGGTGTCCGCGGCGGGAGCTGGGTATCACACAGACAGAAATGTCCGGGCTTGATGCTTTAAAAGAGCCAGTTTCTCAAGCTGTTAGTCAAATCAGTTGGAAGAAGGAACTGCAAAGGAAAATCTGAATTACAATTGGAAATTTACCTATCTTTTTAAAAAAATTGAAGAACCACTGATAAAGCCTTAGAGATAGGCTTGTTTTGGGATACTGCTCAAACTTAAAGAGAGCAGGTCACTAACACAGAACAAGTCTTGACGGCTTATTAGGTGGGTACAACAATCTGACTTAATACATGCAAATATTAAATATGACACCTTGCTCTAGAGATTCTTGGGCATACATCGCTGGTTTTCTGTATTACAGTTGTATTTTGTGAAGCCTTTGTAATACTGTGTGTCTTTTTTATGTTGATAACAGGAAAAAAGCTGAAAAATTTGAGGGTAGTTGAGGGATGGCATTTACTAATGGTTAAAAGACTAGAAAACTTGCCTCATGGTGGAAGACACAAAGATCTGTCAACCTTGTAAGAGAGAAGGGTAAGGGTCGCTTACTTGGTCGCAGACTGGGCTGTATAGGAAACAAAACAGTGATAAGTGTATCTTCAATCTAGCAGATTGAAAAAGGTCCAACAGTTGGCATTTGAAGGAAATAAAACACAGAGCTGGGAAGACATTTAATAAGTTTATCAATAATGGTATTTAATCATTGGTACAATTTAATGAAGATTGTTTAGATACTCCCATCACTGGAAATACTGAATCAAGATTTGATGTGCTGTCTCCTCAAAATATGCTTTGGGTCAAACACATGTATTTAATTGAAACAGAAACTAAGTTAGGGAAAGCCTGTGGCCAATGTTACACTACAGCTGAGGCTCCCTTATGCCATTCATTCATAAAATATATGACTAGTGTTAGTTGTCCAGTCAGTCCTCTTGCCAGTGTAGGTTTATATTCTCCTGTTGTTGCTGCTACTTTAAGAATATGCTGAGAACAGAAAGGAAGGTATAATCAATCATGTCAGAGTCTTTCTTTTTTTATCCATGCTTTAGTGCTGCTTTAGAAATACCTCACTACTTTTAAAATATTATAGCCGATAGCCTTGTAGAATGAGAGAAATCAACAAATCTAGTCTCTGTCTGCTTTTGTGTTTTCTTTTTTTTTTTTTTTTTTTTTTTTTTTTTTTTTTTCCTAGTATGGACGTGCCACTGTTTTAAAAATTACTGAAGTGAATGGAATAAAACCAGACTGTTCTTTTTCTTTTCTCCTTCTTCAGTTCTTTTCCATGTACTTTTCCACTGGTAACAGATTGGTCTCAGGGTAATAATTTCACCATTCTGCTTTACTAATTAAAAGTTAATCACTCACATAAATTCTTTCTGTAAGGCCAGTTTATAACTTAGAAAAAGTGAAAAGGACATTGAGTTCACCAGTGATATAGAATGCCAGACTAGCTCCAGAGAAGCATTTGAAAGTATGCAAGTTTTCTGAGCTGTGAGTTTGCTGAAGCTTAAGGTGAAGACTGCCTATTTGTAAGAGTTGCTCTTTAAATCAGGTAATCCTGCCCTAATGTGCTGTTTATTTGCCCTAACCCTCTGACTGGTGTCAGTGTGTTCAACTGGACTGCAGGATTTGCTGAGCAAAACATCAGAATCCTCATAGACAGATGTTTTGTGCAGTACACATTACGAGCATGCATCCAAGCACTAGCCAGCATCCAACCAACCTGGCAGCTGCTCACTTGCTCATTTCTCTGCAATGGGAGAGAGAATAAAGTAGGAAGAACAGAAGCGAGAAAACTTGTGGGTCAAAATAAAGACAGTTTAATAGAAGAAGGAAAGAGAAGGGGGGGAAAGGCAATACGAAGGAAATCACTCCTGACCTCCCACGAAAGGGCCAATGTCCAATGAGTCTCCAGGCAGCAGCCATCTTAGAAGCCAGCTCCTTCTTTCTCTACCTCCAATTTTTATTGCTGAGCATGGTGATATGAAATATCCCTTTGAACAGTTAGTGTCAGCTGTCCTGGCTGTATTCCCCTCACAAGTTTCTTGATCGCTTCCAATGCACCTCCTGGGTGGGGACGATGACAAAGTGGGGGAAAAAAGTGAAAGCCTTGACCCTGTGCAAGCTCTATTCAACAGTAGCTGAAGTATTGCTGTGTTAAAAACACTGTTTTAGTCACAAATTCAAACCACTGTACCATACAAACTGCTATGAAGACAACTCCATCCTAGTCAGCCCCAGGACATACAAACAGTTTTAGATATAAAAAATGAACATAATACACTGTGGGTCTTTAAAATTACTTGAACTTAAAATTCATTTTAGAGATGCAATGCTCATGTCATACATGGCATTTCATGTTTCACTTAATCTGCTCAAATAAAGAGCCACTGATGGAAGGTATGATCCTAGTCCCATTTCCGTTTCCAGCTGCAAGCTTACACCTCTTGAGTTCAAGTTGTGATACCTTACAGCTGCAGAGTGAGTTGGATCAACCACTCACGTCATTCAAAAGTTATTCACCAAAAGATGTAGTTTTGTAGTGGCTCAGCGGACTGAACCAACTCATCTGTGGCTTCAGGCTGACTAGATCTGGTGCAGGTGTGAGCAAAGGAGTTTGAATTCAGAAGACAAAGAGCCTAGAACTGCTTCTTTGGCAGTAAGCTTTGGTTAGGCGTAATGTGAAACTACACGTTCAGTTTACACAAGAAGAATGAAAGAAAATACAAAACATAATGCAGCAATGTTCAAAAAAGAAGAACCATAACATTCCATATGTAGGGATCAGATATTCTGTACTTCTAATATAAAGAAATACTTTCTAAAATCAGAGTAATCCTTCAGATTATCAAATGTATCTAAAATTCAAGTCTGAATGGAAATTTTGATATAGATATCATATTCATGTGGTATAATTGTACGAATAAAAAGGGGCCAAAATGATAAAGAATGTATTATACTTTCATGTGAGAATTTTTCTCTTCGGAATCCTTTGAGTAGGCTGAAGAAACACTGCAGTAGGCCGTTTTGCTGAAGCTTCTAGCATGAATGCAAGTCTCACATGCTTTTTTGTCTGTTAAGTATATAGGCAGTCCACATTTTGGCTTATGTGGTGGATGCACTCTGAGACTCAGCTCCTGCAACAGCAGAGCTACCATAGCAGTGTGCTGCTAGAAAGCATGTTACACGTATGCAGTGACTACTGGCTAACTAGCTCCCTGACCACAACACAGAGCTATAGTATGTCTCTTTTGCTTTGTGAAACTCCCCAGTTGTTCATAGCTGGTTGACGCTGACATACGAGGTCAGCAAACAGCAAAGATTCACTGTCAGTGCGTGAAAGGGAGGCACGAGGGCATGCAGCAGTAATCAAATGAGTGAGTTCCAGTTACTGTGTTTTGAGTTTGACAGGTCTGTGAATGTTAGGGGTGAAGATGTTTCTTCTGTTGTAGTCTGGACAAACAGCTGTTTAAGAAAAGCTCAGAAATCACCCAGATAGCCCTACCAGCATTCATGTTGTCATATTTTATGTCATCTTAGGTCATACATCAAATACCAAAAGTGAAACTGTGTTGGATGGTATTAACAGAAAAAATAATGTTAGTGGGTCATGCTTTCACCAGATGGATTTCTATCTATTTCAGCATTTCACATTTAATGATATGCTCTGTTCCATCTTTTTGTGTTTAAATCTGACTCTAGATGTGTAATAATAAATGGAATTTGACTTTAGAGGACATGCAGAGTCTCTTCATTCTTGAACTTATCTTTTTTTTTTTAATGTGTCCATCTGCTATAATATCCTTTCTTCTGTCTGTCTTCTATCTCTGTTTGTGTACATTTTCTCTGCACATTTGGTTTGGTCGTATGGTAGCATATAGAATGTGTGGCACATGGAAAGCAGTAACTTTCAATCTGTAAATGAGTTGAATAAAACCCATGAAAGTAACAACTGCAAAGTGTATCAGCATGGCTAATGTCCTTCAAGAGTTTCACAAAATTTTCAGCATTTTACATCAAGTTCTCTGACCTTCAGAGGTCTTAAGAAACTTACAAACTTGGTCCTTTGTCTGCCATCTATGCCAGCACCATAGTCAGAATGAGAATTGTGTTGCAGAACATGGTGTCTTTATGCTTCATAAAGAAAGTAAAATGCAGGGTTTTAGGGAGTTTCCATTCCTCAATTTTAGCCTGAACAAGACAGAAAAAGGCACTATATTGTGGGAATTGGATGTCAGTTAATACTGGTAACTTTCAAATGATGAGTACTGTTAAGTAAAAAAGTACTCTTATAGAAGGGAATATTTTGTTCAATTCTTTCCAAAATGGACTTTTCTAGAGATCTGAGCGGGTTTTTTAATATAGGAGATGACAATTTCATGCTGAAGTTAATAAAGTTTTGATCTTTTTTTCTAAAATGGAGTTCAGGGGTGGTTGGGTTTTTTTTTGTTAATTCATCAGTTTATGCTTAAAATTTTACAGATCCTTCTTAGCCTACTCTTCCTGAACACTAGACTTTCAATCTAAGAAAGAATATGACACTGATTCCTAAAATGAGCAGAATCATACGGAGAAGGGGCAGCTCTTTCACTGGATACATCTACGTTGAACTTTGAGTTCACATTTTGTATCTGCACTGTTTACTTAGGAAAACACCTAGAAAATAGAGTAAGAAAGCCCTAGCTTTTACTGGCCTCTCATATGGTGTATCCACCCATAGTGCTGAGAATGCATTTAGCTTGGTTTTTACCAGGCTGAGTCCTATCTACCTCTAATGCAATTTATATGAAGTGAAATTTTTTCCTAATTAATCCATTACCATTTTAGTTTCATTTCTATGACTTCAAGATTCACATTTTAAAGAGTATTATTTTTTTTTTTCTGATAGGGGATGAAAATATGGGTGCAGTTTTTACAGCTTAATAGTAGAGGGTTTTTTTATATAGGAGGTGAAAGAGATGTATTCTTCTCTACCTCTTTAGTAGCCAGTGTTCTACAGTATCCACTCTGCTTTAGTAATTTATGATAGAAGCAGCTCCTGCAGATATAAAAAATGTTTTCCTGCTTTCTCTGGCACCTGGATGCATCTCTTGTGGAAAGCATCCAGTCAGGCATCTCCCTCTTCCACAAAGAGGCTCACAAATGAGAGCATTTCTCACGAGGCTAACAAATGAGAGCAGGTTTTTGGTCTGAGGGGGTTTAGGGTCTGTTTCCAAGAGATGTGTGAAAGATAGCTAAGAGAGCATGTATGTTGTTAGTGGGCTTCAGATTGGTTTATCAGGACCCGCAGTTCTGCTGAGAAGAAGCAGGGGCAAAACAGAGAGGGTTGAGGACTTCTGGTCTACTTGTTTCTGCAATAGGCGTTCTTTTTATATGGCCATGTCCTACTTTTCTACCTTTGATACAACCCACTCCATCCGGGCTGAGTGGATTCTTTAAATTAGCAAGTGTGGCCACCTACTGGGGAAAAAAAAAAAAGATGTAAAAATAAATCAGAAACAACAGAATGTACAAAAATTGTAATACCTTGAGCACAGGTATATAGCCAACTAGAAATACTACAAACACAAGAATAAAAATTCAAGTCCCAGTTTTCTGTGCCCCACTATTACCATATAGTTTTTGTGATACTATATTTTGCTCTTTCTCTGTATAAATAGTTCCCTCTTTTTCTGACAGCTTTATCGTGACCTAGTTACTCCTCTCAATCAGATCAAATTCATCCCTGATTTCTAACAACTGCAGTTTTGTTCAGATCACAATTTAGCCTTTACTGGATAGAAATTTCTCCTGACAAATGAACAGATCACAAGGCAAGATGTAGCTGATTTTACTATTTACTGTTTATTTACTAAACTACCAACAATTATTGCTTTATTTGGCAGGAGCACTCTAAACTTTAAGTAATTGAAATATGAAATGAATGAACACGTTAAGAATTTACAGGAAGCTTCTTTAGTTCCCTCGTTGTGGATGTTTTGCATTAGCAGTGTTGTACAGCCATGTCTGCAGCAGGAAAATACACCTACTTTTGGGAAAGGACACCAGCATGGCAACAGCTAGATAATAGCTGACAATAACTTATAGTACCTGAAGAAGATTAAGCTACTACGTTCATGCATGCTATAAGGTAGCTGATCCATATTACTGATATGTACTCTGACATGCCTCTGACAGCCAGCTGGAGCAGGTAGTCAGGCACCCCTACTGCCCGGTGGCCTGGTCATCAGAGAGCAACTGCTGCCTGAGCCTCCCATCTTCCATTTGTAGGAAAGGGTCCTGAGATTTCAGTTTTAATTTAGCTTCCTTCATTTTAAATCCTTATCAAACAAATGTTAGAGCTGAGAACAAAATGGCAACAGCTGGTAATGTTTGTTAATTAATTACGGTTAAAGTCTGTATGTTTATCTAAAATTGGTTTTGGCGTCATAGGACTATAGAGAATGGAGCAGGATGTGATTAAATTTAGATGTTTTGCTGGAAAAAAGGGGAGAGTTTACTACATGTCACCTGAGAGTAAAAGTCTTTTTAAGACCTGAGGGGCTTTTAAACAGTGGTGAAGCTTGTTCAGTCTTACCCATGCTGCCTTTCTGAAATAATCTGCATCTGTTTCTAAAATGCAAATACAGTGGTTTAGATATAGAATGTGTTGACTCATTTAAGATAAAAAGGAAGAGCATTCATGTGTCCTGATATATGGGTAGTGTTGACAGACTCCTCCCACCCACTTCTGTGCTGTTGTGTAGATGGGAGTTGCAGTTTTCTCTAGAGGAATAGTCTCAGTATAGAATATTCTATTAATATTTTTATACGTGTGACAATGTGAAAAGGGCTTTATTTTTTATTAGAATAATTAATAAAGATTTAAAGTTTGATCACTTTTGGCTGTGTATGACCTTCTTTCAGCCCGAAGAAGACTCAACCTGCCTGTCTGAAAGCTGGTGGATTTTTCAAGGATTTTAATAATAGGAAACATACTACCTCTGCAGTTGGACCTTAATTATTGTCTTAGATCATGACAGTTACAGAATAGCCCGAGTGCAGTTTGTTTCCTGGCTTTCTCCGGGGGGTGCGAGGGAGATGGCGGGAGGGCTGTGGGGGGGAGGCCGGTGGGTGTGAAGGAGATGGCGGGAGGGCTGTGGGGGGAAGGTTGGTGGGTGTGA